AATTGATAAATTTTAGGTTAAATATAACTATTGTCGATGTGTTCATCTGGTGGTTATCAATGTTTCTACAATGTGACCACTTCGTAGCATTCCAGAATCAAAGCACAGAAGGCACTGATTTTGTTTGGGTCTCAGAATATCAGAAAGGTGAAGGTTGTGAGATTATAAACCAATTTGTTTTGTATAGTGCCACCAATGCTTTCCAGCGTTTTAATTGTAGTAAATTGGCTAAATTGCAACACTGATATTCAATTCAATGTTTATTGACTTAAACAATTTGAAAAAAAAAGAGTTGCCTTAACTGGGATTTGAACTCCGGACCTCTGACTTCCTAAGCGAGCGCGCAAACCCCTCGCCCACGGTGAAGTTATATGTTAACGGTCTGAAGAAAACCATATTATTCTAAACTGTTGTTTAACACAGATTTAAATAAACATGGAGCTTACAATAAGCATGTATATCTATAAAGAATAAAACAATTTTAGAAATCTTCGACCATTCGGGAACTACTTTGCTTGAAAATTAATGCGCCTGTCATTTGACCATCTTTACGCAGTGATCTCCTCTGAATGTTTCGGCGTTAGTATACATATAAAGGGAAGTAACCGCTTAAAAAAAGCGGCCTTCTTTCGGAATTTGTAATTAACAGCATCAGGGTCTGAAATTTCGCTACCATTATTTGTTTGGTCAGACGACCCAAACAAATTTAAACGGGGTATCATCCCCAAGTAACACTATTCGTAGCTTAAACGAAAATAATTCTTTGGAAAAATAAATAAAATTCTTACAGGGATCAAAGGTTATAAAGCCTTCCTGTCATATATAAGCCATTAACAGACAAATTTCAAAAGAAAAAAATGTTACGAGCCAGGCGTAACGAGAAAGAAAAGCCAGCAACAAACTTGTAACAATAACAAATTTATTACAGAAAAATTATTAAAGAAAAAAAATAAAATAACAAATTATCTTTACAAATACCTGAAGTCCAAATAAAAATTACAAATGTCTAGTCTGATCCTGGAATGATCCTTTTTTAATAGCACAGTTAAATCCAAGTTAAATCCAAGAACACTTTAGAATAAATTCCCACAATAAAATCCACAAGAATAATTAATAATCCAAGCTCCAATAAATCACTTAATTTCCAAGTTGAATAATACTCCAAATATATTGATGACTTAAAAGATCACTGATGACTAAAAAGGTAACTGATGACTTAAAGATAAGAGTAATGAAAAATGTCTCCTTATATATATATTAACTAAGAAGTTTCTAGAATAGTCTTCCATTTACTACAGTAATCATAATCTAGCAACTTCAACAATAAAGATCATTCCAGAAATTTCTATCTAAATATAATGCATGAGTTTTCCACAACAGTTAAGAACGTTCTAGTACATACATGTAGTTTATGTTCTAAAAATAGAACAATGACAATATTGGAAATACCAACTGGTCAGATATAATCTATATACATGTAATATGTTGCATACATAACAAAAAACACATCCTTATAATTGTCAGGCAATATCAAAGGAGGAATACAAAAATCACCCTACTATAAAAAGCACTAAACTACCACTAAAACAACAATAGTGTCAACCGCTCACCGCAATGAATTCGAATCGGATTTTTTCATGTGAGAAACCTATCCACTTAATAACAGAACGTCGGTGGTTTTACTCAGGCGCCCGGTCGTGCCTGAAATAATTCAATGAAAGGCACCTGATGTCTTCTTGTACCAGAAAAACTGAAACGTCGCCTATACTGTGTCGGTGTGACGTAAAAAATAATAGGAACAAATATACGTGTCGGCTTCCGCAGGACGCAAAGAATATTGATGTGTCGATATAATAGGCAAAAAACATAATTGCTAAAGAAAACATTAAACGGAAAAAAACTAGCATGTGGATGTGTATTAGTTATAATAGTATTTTCACAAACGCTACTAGTATTTAAAATCTACAAGCACTGGAGTAAGCAGTTTAAACAGCAGTCAACATTTTATACATGCTAAAATTTGAAATTTTAAAACTTCCGTAATATGTTCATACGGGGGTTATAAAAGAACCTTCAATGTGACATATTAGTGAAAAAGTTACGTGTGGTCCCCAAGTTAAAATGCGTGTGCACAGTGGGCGGGACCAATCAAAATGGAATTTTGAAAGGGAACAGAGGTTATGAAGCCTGCATATCACTATACTCAGAGGAAGCCGAAGATCGCGCGAAATATTTGTCATGTCATTGAATTATTTCATAAGTGATTATAACTATGTGACTTGAAGTATTGGTAAATACATGTTATAAGGATCTTAAAAGTAAACATATCAAATTGTTCACGTTTGCTTTTCATTGATCTCAGATTGCCTGTAAAAATCGGTGAGTTTTTTTAAAGGAACAATTTAGTGGTTTCCTTCAACAAAAATGTTGTTTTTTTGGTCTGATGCATAATTTATATCGTACTGTTGTTAAAGGGACTTCACTGAGGTTTTTCGACATGATAGGACTGAAAATATGTTTTTCCAGATAAATGTGCCATTTGATTTTGGTTTAGAACACTAATCTTTGTGCAAAATTTCAGATCATTCGCGCACTTTGTCTTTCAAGAATAATTATTCAAATTGTAAAAAAATGACACAAAATTAAAAGCGTTTAAACGCTTTTCACTCAAATCGGGCTATGAAAAGTATAAACATACCATTTTTAATTCATTTCAAAGTATGATTCTTAACTATCTTTGCATATATTTATATTTCAAGTGCCCTAGCCTCATTCCGAATAAATTAAAATGTTATTATCTTAGGTTTTTTAACCTCAGTCGAGTCCCTTTTAAATTAACAAAACAGTTTTGTTTTTGTCGTAATCCGCAACTGTTTTTATCTTGGATAAATGAAGACTCATCGAAATCGTTATTAGCTTACTCTTTTTTTTATAAATAAATGTAACATTAATATTGAATGTATTAAATACCTTTTTGTAAGATCGATTTACATTAAAAATTTACCAGGCCTATAATGGTATGCTTTTTTTTAAATGATACCCTTCTTTGCTCATTGTATAATTATTCATTGAAAAAATATAACAATATGAATACCGTTTCGCTTTAACATGCTCAGTTAAATTTTTTATTGAACATTGTAACGTACAGTTCAAATAATTAGACTACAATGTAGTCTATTTTTTTATTGTTTTCCTTGTCGGACAAAATAAGTTAGAATTAGAGTAAAATAGAAAAATACAGAATCCCCAAAGAAAGCTCAACACGACAAAATTGAAAATATTGCATGCTCGGTTTGATTGAGCCTGATCATGGACGGTACTGGAAAGTGCAAGTTACCGTCCACGCCCCTTAGCACCGGCTTAAGCAGAATTCAACATTAAAACACGAAAAATTGTGAAATTTTGAATTTAAAGACATCCCGAATTTAGAGAGTAAAGACAAACACATTTAGTTCCTGTCAAAAGCTTTGACATGTTTGGCATCTGTTTTGATTTTGTAAACACATCTAAATGAATGGTATACAGTAAATCTATATAAGAGTACATGTATATGAGTAATCTTTTCTTTCTTGTTTTATATAAAAGTAGTTGTATAACTTAAATGCAAAACTGGCAGATACTTAATTAGCTCATATTTCTAACATATTCCCCCCTTCCCTATACCTATAACTGTCAATATTCAGAGCTGAGCCAATGGGCTAGAATAAATTTGCATCTTGCCTTCAGATATTCCTTGCTAGAACCCTGTACATTTAATATTCAACAGTTTCAAGTTTGAATCCGTTACTGGTATCCTAGCAGTTTCCGGCCGCTAGCAGTTTTCCGGCCCTTTATCATTTTCATCCGGAAGAGGTTATTTTTACCAGTATGGCATTAACATGCATGTTACTTCAGCAAATCAGAGAGATATTTGTTTTCTATCTAACACGGCAGATTAATAGTACACCGATTTATATGTTTTTATTTTTTCCTGTTGTTTAAAGATACATTAGATAATTTGAGACATTTTATAATAAGCAACACATGGGGAATTCTAGTTTTAATGTCAATGTACAATAACTGAACCCTATTCCAGGTAAGCAATACCTTTGAACAATAAAGACGACACCGAAAAGATGGAAAGGCCTATTTCTTTGATAAAATCATCTTAACAGTTCTTACTGGTACTGAATTATTTTATAAATCCAAAAAGGTCCGGAAAACTGCTAGGAAATTTTGAATAAAAGTGAGAAAAGGTTAAATTCCATTTGAAAGAAAAAGTAAAAGAGCAGCATTGAACACATGGTTATGCTGGACAGGTACCTAACTTTGTTTTATTAAAGTGAAATACTCTTCCGTAGACAGAGCTTTATTTCATTTGTTACAAAGTGCGATTTAGGGTCGGCCACTGCTAGGAAACCAGTAATGTTGATAAGAGTAAAGGGGTAAAAGCCTCTATTGTTGATACCGTTATGATTTCTGTAATTAGTTTGTAAGTTTGGTTCGGTTATATCGTCTGCTACCGTTTATTGGTTAACATGCTTACATAAAAAGTGTTTTTTTATATAAATAAAGTAAGGATCCTTATCTGTCTAGTTAAACAACTAAATGGATAACAAGTTTCGGAAACAATTTCTGTGGTTTGTTATTTTTATATTCGTTTGTCAAAATATATATTTCCCGTATTACAGTTAAACGCTAGGTTTGAACAAACCAAAACTGTTTATGCATGCAATATTTGATTTACTGTTTGGCTTTGTCATCAATTAGAACACATCAAAATCCTCCATAAAATAGTTTTATGGACACACTTTTTCTTTCAAATAAACGCTTGCTGCAGTTCATTGACACTGAGTAGAAAATTGTGTGCTTTGATAAAACCGAAAGTGACCGTGAAAATGTATTTGAATATCCAAATAACATATGTATGAAATTAAAAAAATACAGTACAAATTAAAATACTGCATGAGTTAACTGATACAGAAACATTAATGATAGACGTTTTAAAATGTAGTACTTACGGTTAAGTATCTTCTTTAATCCATTTATATTGTTTTGAATCAATTGATATCGAAACTTTGCACAATATTCATTTCTAAAATGTTTTAATTTCAAATGTTTAAATGTAATCTGAGAGATACGTTTGAAACTTAATAACACTATTTTATATTTTCCTAAGGAATTAAGTTCAATATCTTGCCTCCTTATACGTTTTAGCGCTATTATATTGGCGCTTCGATTGAACAAGTCGCTTGCTCTTAGCCAATTAAATTTACTTTAAGGCAGATAATATCAAATGGTCTATTTATAGATAGTACGTATGAATGAATAAGCAGAAATAAATAGCAAAATAAATATTGAACGATGAATATCATGTTTCTGTTTGGCTTGTTAAAAATCATTCAAAGCTTTCAAAGTTTGTATTCACAAGGTTGAATATCAAATAAATCTATTGTGTTATTATACTGGTATGCGATCATTTTTCCTTTAGTCGTTTAGAAAAAAAAAACCTACTTGATTTAACGTATTATGTTTGCTGTCAGGCACATGTATTAAATAAACATGATTAAATGTATCAATCGTGTAAATGTTTCATTTTCTTCAAATTGCTTAATTACACTCTTATAGAATTAAAATATAAAAGACTTTAAAATGTAAACCTGTTTTGCAGACATTGTCGTTTTAATTAATAGTTTTGTAATAATTCAAACATTGAGTGAACAAAATAAATATTTAAAAGAAACCTTAAGCAGGTCGCATATTTATTTATTTACTTATTTATATATTTATTAATTTATTTATTTCTGCCAAATTATACGATTTTATAAAACAAAATATAGTGTTTCCTTTTTTGTAGTTGCTCTACAATAAAAATAAAGAAATAGGGGTCCAACTCCCATGCATTTATATGCTCAACGGTTACCAAAAGTAACATTAAAATCTCAAAGTTAATATCTTGCTTTTTGGTCTATTATTCGTATTTTTGTAATTTATATCACATATATAATCTAATAATTTAAATGGCACATGTAAAGACATACGAACGTACTGTATAATTATCGTCTGCTATAGTGCGTGGTTAATCATGTGTACATTGGATACAAATGTATTGTGAACTTGCACGTTATAATTAAAAAAATCGATCAATTTAGAAGATTTGGAAATGACTTTGACATTATAGGATCTTGTGAAGCGCAACAGAATATAACTGTATAAAGTGTCGCGCTATAAAAATACCTATGATTGATTGATTGATTGATTGATTGATTGATTGATTGATTGAAGAAACCATGTCTGTGACTTGACATCGGGATATTGCAATAGAATGATAAAATACAGAACCCTAAAGAATATACAACAGACCTGGTGCAGATTCGTTTTCATTTACGGTAGTTAATGCCCCTAGGATCCGTTTTAGCGGCATTAAACATTAAAATGCTTAAACTTTGCAAAAGAGCTTCCGAAGATGTGGGCATATGGCTGTGATGCTAGAACCTTCATTTTGAAAAAAAAATTACTTTAAAGCAAAAAGTTAAAGACTAAAGAAGTTATAATTATCGTAGTTAAAAAGAAGTTAAAATCCTTCATAGTTACTACATTGACGAGACAGGAGACATACACTATACTAATGTTTAGTAACCGTGAACCAAAATGAAAAGTTCTTTACAATCCTTTCAAGAAAGGAAATCTATTACGCCGCCTTCAATGTTCATTTTGTCCTCTGTTTTTTTTTCAATCTCAATACGAGTTTCCAGTTTATCATAATTATTAGTTTTGCTACTCACGCACAAAGTTAGATACTTTTATATCCTCCATATTTGCAGAGCAAAACGTATTTACAATTAAATACATTGTCACATCACCTATATATACATATTTACAAACAACATACACTTTACTTCGAATTCTGACATACCATCTCTTTTTTTAAAAAAATCTAATCGGCAAATAACATGAACTATACAATCAAACATGTCAAAGTTGTCCTTCTATAAAACTTGTGTAACATAGCGCTGTCAGTAGACAGAGGAATAAACAGCCAGATTTATAAAACGTTAACTTCCATTTTAGAGAACCATCCCGTTCTCCTTAATTTCTGTTAAGGCAATCAACATTCAAGATATTGTTTTTGAAAGTGATATTCTTAACTTGTGAAAGTTATGTGGTATCAAATACATATTGATAAATATATGACGTAAAGTTATTACTAAAACAGAGTCTTATGATGCGAACACAGCAGACATGATTTAAATTGTTATATTTACTCATCTTAACATGCTATAGTTTATTTTAATGTGTGAATAATGCACCCGTTCAAAATTGATCACAATATGCTTTTATTGTGTAATGTTTAGCATTGAATTACTAGTTATCATTTTAATCTTTCACGATAGATTTAATCATTGACCTGTATTTGGTCATGGTTAATAAGTCGCTTGACAAGTATTTTATCTGTACTATCATGCGATATCATCGAGTCATACTTTAGCCGTTAATCTCTCGTTTTATTGTTCTTTAAAATAATGTTTATAATAGTAAAGACGATAAATATGTCATCTCAAATGATTTAAAAATATAACCAACATTGTTCTTTAAACTGCGAGTACATTATGATTCATTTATACCACACCTCAACACATTCCTATGTCAAATGTATAAATTAACGAAAAGATTAATGACGGTAAGTACTGTTTAAAGGGACGCAATACCTTTGTATATGAATTTTACATTTGAAGAGTTATTCATGAAAATTAGTTTGTATATGTTCAATGTCTAGTACCCTGTAATGGGACGCAATAATTAATTGCATCATTTTTATAATTGAAGTGGTATTTGTGAAATTTCTATTGCATATGTATACGTACAATGGTTGGTATCTTTACCTTTGAAGAATTAATTATTAACGAAAATTTCAATGTGCATGTATAAATAAGGAATAAGCATACACATGATTTAATGGCATTTTGCATAAATTGATTTGCTTTAAGGTAAACGAAAGTAGGCAATTCATGTTGTTAGTTCTAATACATTGAAAGTTTACATGACACGCTGTTCATACGAAGCATGCTTTTTGTAAAGTTGTCAATATTTTCGAATTCTTTTCAAGCTTTTTTCCTCTTTATTTTTGAAATTTTGATATTTACTAAAATACATATTTAGTCCATTGTCGATGCATTTTTATATTATGATTCTACCTATATTTTAAGTTTGGAACAGTCCGTTCATTTTAATATCAAAATATTGAAACAGTTTCATTGAGCTGCAGACAGTACAGAGCCCAGTCAAGTTACACAGATGTGTAGACTGAATTGGCAAAAGTATGCATGTTCGGTCCCCAGCAGCAGGTAAGTATTAATGATAAAATAGTATTTTTGTGTTTAATCATTACACTTTAGTAACGATGATATAATAATACAGTTTTCGAGGACCTCTTTGGCTGTAGTCATCTCTTACAGATTTCTAAACAAGTGCCCCTTCCTTTTTTTTTCCGAGGGCCCCTTTTTTTTAATTACCCGTTTTTTTCGAATGTCCCCGGAATTATTTGGTTTAAAAAAAGTTAAGCTTTTTAAATGTGTATTTTAATGGGAATTAAAGGACTTTATAGGGTTTAAATTTCCCGTAAAGAAATTGTTGGGGAAAATTTATATGTATTATTTAAAATAAAAAAATCGCTTTTTTAACTTTAAATTTAAAAGGGGTTTTTTATTCGAATAGAGATATGCTGATATATAACATCATTTGTTCCTAGTAAATACTTGTATGTTAAATAAATACATTCTACATAACGTTTTATAATACAATGCAAGCAAAATTCATGTCAATATACCTCATAATTCATGTCAATATACCTCATAATTCATGTCAATATACCTCATAATTCATGTCAATATACCTCATAATTCATGTCAATATACCTCATAATTCATGTCAATATACCTCAAAATTCATGTATATCAATAAATAATGCTAAATAGAGGATACAGAATGAGTGTATACAAGGTTCAACACTGAATGAATTGAACACAGTTATATTTATATTATGTGGCCATCTCATGAACATAATGCCATTTAATTCAACGAGTTAGCTCAAGATAGTAATAACCTACACAAATATAATATTTTATTTATCACACACCTAAGATAAAATATGTTTATAGTAAAGATTATCTCTTTTTAGCTCTCCTGAGCTTGCTCAGGGTGAGCTTTTAGGATCGATGAATGCCCGTCGTCCGTCGTCTGTCGTCCGTCCACACATGTTCGTTAACACTCTAGCGGTCACATTTTTGCCTCGATTATCATCAAACTTTGTCAGGATGCTTGTCCAGGAGATAGCTCGGATAAGTTTGAACATGGGTCATCTCGGATGAAAAACAAGGTCAAAGAGGGTAAAAGTAGAAAAACCTTGTTAACAATCTTGTGGTCAAATTTTTGCCTCGATCATCATCAAACTTTGTCAGGATGCTTGTCTAGGAAATAGCTCGATTAAGTTTGAACATGGGTCATCTCGGATGAAAAACTAAGGTTTTTTTGTTGTTTTGTTTTGGGTTTTCCGTCACATCGACACAGTATAGGTCATATCGCGACGTTCCAGCTTTACTGGTGGAGGAAGACCTCAGGTGCCCTTCCGAGCATTATTTCAGGCACGAACGGGCACCTGAGTAGAACCACCGACGTTCCGTAAACTAGCTGGATAGCTTCCTCACATGAAAGAATCCAAAGTCCCTGTCGGGATTCGAACCCACAGCGGTGAGGGGCAAGTGGTTTGAAGTCAACGACCTTAACCACTCGGCCACGGACGCCCCTGAAAAACTAAGTCACCGGAGCTAACTCTAGCGGTAAGATGTTTGCCTCGATCATAATTAATCTTGGTCAGGATGATTGACTTTATTGATAGCTCAAATGAGTTTGAACATGGGTCATCCCGAATGAAAAACAAGGTCACAGGAGCTAAAAAATAGAAAAAAAACCTTGTTAACAAAATAGCGGTCACATTTTTGACTCAATCATCATCAAACTTGGTCAGGATGCTTTTCTAGGAGATAACTCGAATGCGTTCGAACATGGGTCATCTCGAATGATAAACTAGGTCACAGGAGCTAAAAATATAAAAACCTGTAAACACTCTAGCGGTCACATTTTTGACTCAATCATCATCAAACTTGATCTGGATACTTGTCGTGGTGA